GGGAAAGAAAGTAGACTAAAGCAGTACTGAAATCTATCAGTCCAGCACTTTGTGGAACTACATCCTCCATTGCAACCTAATCCTTATTGACCAAGGTGCTACATAGTAGCATGCTTTCTTGTACATGACAGAAATTACACTTCGGTATTCTGATAACTTCTATGTTCCAAATTTGATTTATTTCTTCTTAAAAAGAGAAATAAAAGTCAACTGCTCTCTCATAAACCACGTGACAGTTCCAGTTTGCCAGCTGGAAACAATATCCCATAGATTAAGAGATGAAAGTGTGGCTCTGAAGGACAGTTACAGAAAAAGGGCTTGAATTATAACAGAATTGATGATGGTGCTTTCATCTCTGAAGGAATACGCAGGAAGATATCAAAAGATTCAAGAGTAAAAGAAAACTTCAAACTATCTGGTGAAATTAAAAAGCCAGCCCTGCCCAGCAAAATTTAAATACCATACATGGCAGCATTCGCTTGTTCAAACCTTGTAGATCTTTGTAGTCATTATTTTGTCAGTATCTGAATTATAGCCTGGATATGACAGCAAAGGCAGAATTCTCCTCCCTGCCCTACTGGACCCACAGCAACCCTAGTCCAAGAGTCACGAAGGTGCTGACAATGCTCTAAGTCAGCAGAGTGAACTAGCAACCATTCTGATGGCCAGATACATCACCAAAGGCTGCACCTCACAGAGCCAAACCAAGGTAAGGGCATACAAGCACACAAGATAATCAGTTCAGGCCAGCTGATGCACTGTCTTCTAGTACCACTGGTTAACACAAAAACAAGCATGCAGAACACTAACAAGAGAACATACACCCTGTACAAGGCTGTTTGTACAAGTGAGGATGAGCAGACATATGAGAGAATAATCCAGCGGAATTACAGAACCAGTATTGTAAATCATAGAACTAGCAATTAAACTAGTTTTATCTAAACTTTTTTTTTTAATTGAAACCTAGCCTTTTTATCTCTGTTGCCACTAGTATCACAGTATTTATTTCCCTTTTGAAAACAGGTATGTGCACATACACACACAAAACCCTGTACAGTAGAGGCATCTATGAAGACAGCACAACACAGGACTAGATAGGACTCACACACAGATCCCTAACTTAGATAACAATGGGACTGGCTCAGTGCTCCTCATCCCCATGTGGCAACTCCAACAGGGAAAGGAACCAAGCATTTTTTCCTGCCAGAGCCTGGAATGGTCTCAGAACCTGATCCATTCCCTTCAAGGATGATCAGACTACAATTGCACTTGAGCACTAGAGGCCCACTAGGTCTGCTCTATTTCCAAGGGCCAAGAGCGTCCTGTATTTCATTGACATGGGTTTTTTCCACCCAACTTGTTCCTCTAACACAATGAACTATAAACAATGAACAGAGTAGTTTCCTGAGACTTCAGGCACACCTTTCTAGAAGTTTTATACTTACGTTGGGGGCTTTTCCTCTTCTGCAGCTGTACATCAATTAGCTTTTGAACAAAAAAGTAGCTACCCAAGGAAACAATGGATTTGCTTATATAGTGCACTACATGAGCAAGGAAGTGAGCTTTTTACTAACAGAATACCAAAATATTGTATACCACTTATGTTCAAATTTTTACATAAAAAATAATTACAACAAGGTGCCCCTTGAAGACATTTGTGAACCCTCTATTATCCATAGCATAAGTTTTTCCATTGCTGCTCCTAAATCCTGTAACAATATTAATTATAGTTATTTACCTTACATATCCAGTGCTGATGCTGCATTTTGGAAATGCCCCTGCTGCCTTGCCTGTACTTTTGGTTCCTTCCACTTCTCATCTACAAGGCAGAGTCACTTCTTGACTACATCCTACTCCATTCTGCCTCCTCCCTTTTTGCCTTTCGTATTGATAAATATCCATCCATCTTCTAAAACTAATAAAAATAGCACAGACTATGATACTTAATGTCATCCCATTTTGCCTTACACCAAGAAATAGGCATACATTTTTAAGATATTACAAAATGCTATTAAGAGATAACAAAAACAGCACGTACTATAACCTACTTAATTCCTATTTTTGAGAAAAACAACAAGCAAGAGACAACTACTGACTAGGCCCAAGGCACACAGAAACCTCTGGCAACACATGTGCTTATAGCAGAGATTAAGTAATCCTGGATTTAAAAAAAAAATAAAAATCTGAATTCTGTGGTACTCTGGATAAAAAGTGAGATTAAACAAACACCTGGGATCCCTGGAGAAATTACCTGGAATATTCATACCTCGCAAAAATCAGCATTTTAGATTTAAAAAAAATTTTTTTTCAGAAGAATTAGACTATTAAAAAAACCCAAAACCACACAGCAATTCACTACAAATTCCAGTTTTCCAACTTACTAAATCTGACTCAAATGCAGTTTCCACTCCCAGATTTGGGTAGCAATCAGTCCTAGCACCAAAACTAACAAACAAAAAAACAACTAGATTAAGTACTATAATCAATATAATGGGAACAATCAGGTTAGAGTTTTCTCCAACACTAAAATCATAGTGACTTTTTCCATTAGTCATTTTTTTTCTTTCTACACCAATGCCAGCTAATCCATCAGTGTTCAATAAGAGCTACATTACACTAAGTGCAACTGGCCACCCTGATCATAGCTCCCCCTTTTGGCAAGCTAAATATTGTATCAGGATTTATTATTAGTTCAGTTCACATTCGGTCCTATCTTCACAAGACAAAAAAAAAAAAAAGGCAGACAAACAGTTACTAGTCAATGAGGCTCAACATTAAGAAACAAAAAGCTCTCTTTGACAGCTGCTGCTTAGCTCTTACAGTGCCCCCGACTCATCAAGGTACTTTCAGGCATTGAAAGGAAGGACACCTTTTTACCTGCTGTTCACAGGAGACACCTTTTTTTTTTTTAATTTGCAGTCGTCCTTCACATGCACACAAGTTCTCTAGCCAAGGCAGCTATCTCATGGTATTTCCCCCAACTTAAACCAACCTGAGTTTAAAAAAAAAAAAAGGCAAAAATAGTGTCTTCTTGTGGCAGTTTGAGCATTACCCAAACCAGAACACATCTGATAGAGCAAAACAAACTTCAACTGCAGCTGGTTGGTTTTGTTTTTCAGATGACTTAAAAAGCAATGCAGGAGGTGCTGGCTCCATCCAGGACTCTTTCTGCTCTTCTAAGCAAGACGCAAAAGATCTAGGCTTTAAAGCCAGTTCCCATTTTCCCCCCCCACTCTTTTCTTCAATAGGGCAAATTTTCAAAAACATGGGTGGAGCACACCCACAATCTCGCCTCACTCAAACACCAGTGGTGCAATTAGTCTTCTGGAAGGTAAGACATAATAATTTCAATCTTTCTCTTGTTGATTATTTTGACTACTGCACTAGTACCTACAGACTTTTTTTAAGTACATGACAGCAGTTTTGAGAGTTTGTTACTACAGAACCAGAAAAAGCAATTACACCTCTGCATCATGAACAGACAGAGTATCAGCCACCCATTTGCTTCTGCATTTCTGACTGGCCAGGGACTCCCAGGTCCGTATGCAAATGTTCACAGCTCCTTCTCTGAACCTCTTTCTTCTCCTGTGCAGGCTAAGGAGCCTAGACACCTACTTCTGGATATGAATTTCCCAGCTGCAAAGCAGACACTGCCATACCTGACATGTAGATGTAGCGTCTCATCTTGATAGCTCAAGGACACCAAGGGATACACCTTGTATATCACCATAAACAGTTCAAACGCTGGAGAACACATCACTTAATGCTCCACCACAGCTTTCCAGCTTTCCTACTTCAGTAGAAACACCTGCCTTGGTTTTCTACTTCAGCCAAAAATATTGTTATTAAGCTGGAGGAGGAAAATTAGCCTCTTTGTTTCCTACACCTCAACTTTAGGCCCACTTATCCCAGTATTAAGGAAGACATAGATTTCAAAACTCTTTTAAAGATCTGTATCACCTACTATGTACTAAGTTTCCTAGAAGGCTTCCACCTCTGCAAGGCTACATACCTGGAACATCTTTTTTTTTTTTTAGAAAGGAACAAAAACATAGAAGACAATGTTTGCTCTTTTAATATTTCATCTTAATAGTTTAAATGAAGCTACCTTTTAAATAAGCCAACTTTATTTACTATAATAAATTATTATAGCTATTAATTTGTTATTATTGCGAGATCCAAAAACTGCATTTCCTCAGCTTGCAAAGTCAAAGCACAAGACACATTCCAAAGAAAACTTATGTAAAATAAAATAGAATTTATGCTCACCTTTGAACTAATTGATACTTATGTGTCCAGAGTGATTTAGATGGCAGAGTGGATATTTGATTGTGATAGTACTGTTAACGTCTTCAAAGTCGAGTAAACACCATTAATTTTACTCCTGAGTTTTGTGATATTGGTTACAGCAGTAAATCTGCACATTGACATGCTCTTTTTAGCAACTGTTAAGACCGTTTTTGAAATGTTTTAAGTGCCACTATACCCCACTATTAATTAATCATTTAGACTAACCATTAGGCTCACGACGGCAGGGGATTAAAGACTTCTGGGACCGGGAGCGTGCACTCTTCCCAACAACGCATGATGACAGACACAAAGATACAGCTGCGGAAGAAGCCAGAGTACACCTGCTTCTCTCCCTGCAGCTTCTCCCCTGATATCCCTGGATCTTGCTGCCTCGGGGGCACGGCTGCGAGCGCGCACCTTCGCCAGGAGGCGAGAGCAGCTTCTTTTCCCCCCGATGAAAGGAGTGTTTCCGAGAGCCTCAGCCCAGCCCCACGTGCTTGCGGCGGGGCACGGGCAGGCTCCGCCCGGCCCTCACGCCCCTACCAAGGGGTCTCGCTGCCCGCGGCCGGCCCCGAGAGCCCCGCGGGGCTCGGACACCGACCGCCAGGGCGGCGGCACCGCCAGCAGCAAGAGCCCCGGCCGGGGGCGGGGAAGGCCCGAGGCGGAACGGGCTGTAAGCGACGCCGACCCCTCTCCCGGCCGCCTCTCACCTGTTTTGAAGGCCAGCTGCTTGTCCTCGCTGCCGCCGAAGAGCTGGAGCATGGAGACGAAGAGGACCCCGCACGAGTTCTGGATGCCGAAGACGGCGCCGTTGCACCACATGGCGGCCAGCATCACCACCCAGCCCCAGCCGCCCTCGGGGGGCTCCGGCGCCGCCGCGCTCACGGGGCAGCCCGCGCGGTCGGGGGCCTCCACCGCCGCCCGGGGCTGGGCCCCGCTCTCGCCGCTCCCGGGGCACCACTCGCTGCCGTTCTCCCGCCGCGGCTCCTCGGCCGCCGATGGGCCGGACAGGGGGGGCGCGGCGGCGGGGCCCCCCTCCGCACCCTGAGGCTCCAGCTGCTCGCTCACCGGCGCCATCCTCGGAGCGGGCAAGAGACCCTCAGGCGCGCCGCTCCCGCCTTCCTCCTTCTCCTCGCGACCTTTCGTCCCCCGCCTGCCTCACCTCCTCACCGCGGGAGCTGCAGGCATCCTGCGGCGCCCCGTCTATGTGTCCGTCCGTCGATGTGCGGGACCTAACGAGGCCGCCCCACACAACACACCCCACTCTTCCCGCCGCGCCGCCGCCGCTTTATTTTAAAAGGGGGGCTCCCTCGGGGGCGTAAGCGGCACGAGCGCTTCCCTCCGCGCCGATTGGCCGTGGGACGGGAGGCGGGACGGGAGGGGGGCAAGGGGAAGGGAGGCGAAGCCACGCGCCTCTCCAACCCCCCTTCCCCGCCCGCCCTCCAGCTCTGCCTCTCCGGCGGAGGGGGTGGAGCGGGGCGGGACCGCGCCGTGTCAGCGGCGGCGGCGATAAGCGCTTATGCTGTGGCCGCTCGGAGAGGGGGAGCGGGGAATCGAGGAAGATGGGGGCGAGGCTGGAAGTCAGCGGTTAGCGACCGCCGCGGGCGCTGGGCGGGAGGAGGGAGGCAGGAGGCGGGCGAGCGAGCGCCCCGAGCCCGCACACAGGTACCGCGCACTGCCCTCGGCGGGCAGGACGGTAAACAAGCCCCTGGCCCTGCTCCCAGGCCGAGCCCGCTCCCCACGAGGCAGGGCAGCTGCACCCAGCGCTGTCCCGCTGCAGCCGACCGAGCTGAGAGGGGAAAGTCTGAAGCTCCCGCCCCGGCTGTTTGCAAACAACAACCAAGTAAAGAGAAACCGCCTCAAAATGCGCACACCCCGCCACACACACAGACACGCGCACGCGATGACAGCTGGCGCTCGGCCCTGCCTGGCGCTCTTGGGGGAGCTCCATCGCCCACCCTCCTTCCCGAGGGGAAGGCTGCCAGCTCCGGCAGGGGGCTCGGGGCCCTCGGGGCATCCACTGTCCTGGACAGCTGTCCACCTCTCCTTGGGCTACCCTGTGCCAGAGGGGGCCGTGGGGGAACCGCATCTCCTCGGTTGTCATCTCTGTTTAAAAGCAGGGAAAATACTCTCTGTATACAAAGGAAGAGAAAATACTGCTCTTGCACACCTCATAGCATGTTTCCCATTTGCACGGAGGCATCAACTCTTGACCTTTCTTCCCCACAGCCAGTGAAGTAAGAGGATAGGGAAAGGAGAGGTCTGAAGTGTTAAATGACAAGCTTTTTGACCCATGATCCTGCTTCCAAGCTCTCAGCTGCACATCTGTTCCACCATTTGGCAGCTACTTATGTTTTAAGCAGTTTGGGCTTGATGGGGAAGAGCAGCTTCTTCGAAGAAAATCAGCAGAATAAATCTGGATGCTTCGTCCTTCCCTGTGAAACCTGGGGTGCTCAAAGCAGCCTCTTGCTCTTGTACACCATCCCGATTTTTTCCCTCAGAACCTGGGCTGTTACTGCTATATCACCTGCGCCATGCAACTCCTTTGCCTGCCTGTTAAAGCCTCTTCCTCCTTTTTTTGACCCTGAATCGCCTTCTCCATCCTATACCTACCAGTGGCCACACGGGTAAACAAAACTTAGTCCAAAATAAAGCACAGATCCATGAGACCATGTCTTCTTGTTCTGCACACATTACTCGGTCACTCTCCACGTGAAAAGTAGCAGCTAAAGAAAGAAAACCATGTAACAGTGTAATGAAAGCCTATGTAATGTACATTGAGCAGGTGTTAGCTTTTCGAACTAATCGACCTTTGGATTTTTAATTTTGCATGATTAGTGTGTTCGCATTTGTTTTAAAATAAGTTAATTTTTTAAAAAGTTTACAAACACATTTATGATTACAATGAAGTGCATTTTATAGATGCACTAATCTTGCTGCATAATCCGTTTGTCTTGTTGCCTATGTGCATCTGAATTAAACAAAACCATTACATGTACATGTACAACAGCAGTAGAATATGGAAAACATAAAAGCCCATAACAAAACACAATCTAGCTGTATGAAATACATAATAATTGTCAAAGCAAAGAGAGAACACTTGGCTGACCATTGGAAAACACATCTGTTCCCCCTAAGAAAAACCCCAAGCTTAACTACGCTCAATCTACTTCATAAGCAATTTAACACACAAAAGTTAACACTTCACATTCCCCAATAAGTCTTTGTACAGAGGCTGTTTTCCAAATCTGTAGAGCTTTCTTACAATAATTTTCCCCACCCCAATATAACATTTTTTGAACAGTTGTGACAGAGAAAACCTTTTTTTTGAATCAATCTTCATTACGCTTGCCAGCAATGATTACCTTAATTAAACTTTCGGTTGCGTAAGAATAGACAAAGGCAAAATCCAAGATTGGATCTTAATACAATTGATACAAAGGAGCACAGTTCTGCCAGTGCAACATTATATATTATGTTTCTAACTTTTAGTTAGACTCCTCAGATTACTTCACTTACCTTCCTGAATGGGGGCTGCAAACTGTATGATAGATAGTCAAATCAGCTGGAGGGAAGAACCATATATTTTTTCAGTTTTGGATAGTATTCAGTTAAGCACAAGAGTAATTCCTTCTCTGCATGTTTTTCAGTGTAATATTTAGGTACTGCATTTCATTTCCCTGTTTCCTATAAACACTGTAACAACTCCCCCACTTTTTAAGATAAAGGATGTGTCTTTGAAAAAACCCATTGTGAACGTATTGTGTACAGCTTCCACTTCTGTGCATTTTTGAAAACAAATTCTATTTTCCAGTCATTGAGTGTTTCTTATACCCTGATTAGTATGAACTAATTATTTTCCCTTTCTCCTCACATTTGGGAATAGAGAGTCATAAAATCTGATTCTTCAGTATATACAGGTTTTATAAATATAATGTCTATATCTGTTCTGAATGTTTCTTCCCTATTCTGTACCTTGTTGCCCTATTGTTATCTATCTAAACTTAAATTTTTTATTTTTTATTTTTTTTAATTAGGGCACATAGGACCTTCCTTTATGGGCCTCAAGTAGATATCTAGGGAAACTTTGGTACACCCTGCTCCTGTCAAGAGCTAAACCTTTTCCATTTTGAGAGAAGTCTCTTGAGATCTCAGCTATTTTCCTGGTAGTTCCCAAGAACAAGAACAATTAAAGCTCATTCTTCATAGTCAGATGATTTTCAACCATCACTTTCCATGGAAAATGTACTTTGCAAACAGAAAATGGGCAGGTTTGTCTTCAGTTTGATTGCTAAAGTTTTTGTAACCCAAATCATTTACAGTAAAAACATTGGTGTTTAAATTACTACTATCAAAGAATTTAAAAAAGATTATTTGCAAAAAATAATGCTATGGAAAGGTATGTGAAAGGAAAGCCACCTTTGTGGCTCTGCTATTTGAGCCCTGTATGCTCACAAGAAAAACAGTTGAAAAGGAAAAAGAAGGGAGATGAACATGAGATAATTGTAATAAAAACCTGTGAAAATAAAGAGGTTAGAGTTATAAAAGATATACCTTGTATACATGTAACAGTATCTGTTTTAGCTAAATTGTTGTTATGAGCAAGGAAAAAGAATCATGAAACCAGTGGCAAAACAGACAGAAAAGTGGAAAAAATCAAGAGAGGATGGATAAGCTGAGAAATGTGATGTAAGAAAAACCTTGGGTTTGTCTAAGATGTGTTCCTGTTTATAGTAATGTACTTATTTTACATGTTTTATTAATACCTTACAGCCAATAACAGACAGCAACCGTGCATGCAAAAGACATAATGCTTTACAACAGACATCTGCTATGATGGTACTTAGGTTGTGCCTCTTTTAGGATCAATACATAAAGGCCAGTGCCAAAGGAGGAATTTGCCCTGTCACCTGTGGGCTCTCAAAAGCCCCAGAGACCACAAAATGGCATCTTCTGCAACCCTATCTGGAATTGTAGCCAGCTTCCCACTAAACATTCACTTGCTTTCTCACAAGCTATTGAAAATAGACCACTACTTCAGTAGCTCTCACATGCAGCATTTTCTTCAACCATAAGGAATATTTCAATTGCCAATGACTTTAAAAAAATTACCTTTATTGTTGAAGTACTCTGTTAGTGACACACCAAGACTTTTCCATAAACCATTATATCTGTAGAGTGTTTCAAAAGTATATAGTATTCTGCAAAGGTAAAGTGGACAGGATGCAAAGCCTGAAGAGTACATGTTCAGAGAGTTTAATTCTTCCTTATTCCATTAATCTGATTAGAATTTGTACTGTAATAAATGAAAAGGGTATACCTACATCATCCAGGAAAAAAAAAAGATCTTCAGTAAAATGCCTAACTTTATCACAATTTGCTACAAGTGGTACAATAGATACAAAGCCAAGAAATTGAGGAACTATACAGAAGACATGAAGCTAACACAAAATTTTGTGACCACTTAGACTAACGCACGGTCTTAATGATGAAGCTTTTTTGTTGTGTAATTTTCAGCTAGTATAAGTAAGGCACCTATTCAGCAGAAGGATTTGGACTTAAGTCAGAAAGATGAGATAAACAGGATAACCATTAAAACACAAAAACATATGGTATTGCCAACTGTGTGAAGATCAACATTACATTAAATCCCATTCAGTAAGCAGTGTTTATGCATCTCTCAGCCAGACAGGATGTTCTACTGATGTTTCAGACTGGGCTCCAACTGAGTCGTATGAAGTACAAGGGCTGCATCTGATTGCTGAGCAAATGAGTCACATTCTCAAAGATAAAACCCACAGATTTTATTTGTTTACTGTGGGGAGTGTTGGGAGCATCTAGCCTTAATTTGATAATACCTACAGTAGAAGTTTCCTAAACTGCTATTAGTTGTCAAGATATAGGTTCCCTCCTAATTCAATAATAGCTAGTTTCTTATTTGTGCTTTAGTAACAGAAATACCAAGCAGAATGAGAGAGAGAAATGAAGTAGCCTAAAAATCTAACTAGTGAAGCAAAGGAAAAGCAACACATCCAATTCCCATTTCTATATTTATTTAAAACACCAGTTCCAGACTTAACATTTTCCTTTTTTAGGTTCACCTAAAGCATGGATTATGGCTCGGGCTGGCTCCATTACAAATTAACTTCAGGTTTAGTTCATTATTCACTGAAGTGTGGATGGGACTAGACAGACTGTTGTCTGGAACATAGTTAACACAGAGCTATTATTAAAGGTAGGCAAGTGAAAGAAAGTGGCAGGCATTACCTGTAAAAGCCCTCTGCCCCTGTAAATCTCCATTTGCACAAAGCTAAGTTTTTGATGGTAGACTTTTGGTGTAGTATTCCTCTAGCCTACCTTGTCACTGTACGGGTGCACAA